CTTACAAATCTCACAAAATTCTCACATCTTTGGATTGAATCATCATCATCATCATCATTCAAACCCTAGGATTCACATCAAAAAGTGGCTGAATTGATCAAGGATTATATCCATTATCTTCTTCACTCCAAGTTGCATTTTCATCCAAAATCCATTGAAACTTCCTCCATCATTCTGATTTCTGTCACTATCATCATCCACTATCATCATGGAGTAATTGGCACAAGAGATTGGAGAGAATTCGTGGCTGTGTGAAGAGATTCAATTTGAAACTCCAACTTGCATGAAGGATGGAATAGAATGATTCACAAGGATTAAGCACAAATCACTGCAAACAGAAGCATACTCATTCATTGGAGATCATTTTCATCAAGTATCAAAGGTTGAATTGAGGTCTAGCTACCATCACCATCATCAAGTGCAAGGTATGTAAACTTCTTCGAATCTCACTATTCTGGCTGGTAGAGATCATGTGGTTAGGATAATATTGTTTAGAAACCCTAGAGGATTGATTCTTGAAGTTTAGGGATAGATTCGTGGAGATCCATGACAGGTTGCCATTTCTGTTGGCTTCGAGAATAAGCTGTGTGTTGGATTATAATCAATGTAATGAGGCATAGAGTAATGAGGCAAGTATGTAGAATATTTGTGGATCATCAGGTTCGAGTTCTGGCAACTTTGACATCAGGCGAGCATGGTGTACCCTGAATTTCGTGCTCTCTGTTTGGAGTTTACAAGGAGAGTTAGAGAAAAATAGGATTAGGCATGGATTCCTTGGGTTTTGTAGAGTATTTTAGGGCTTGGAATTTTTAATTTTCATCAAGAAAGCATGGAGAACGATTGAATGGAACCTTCGTGCATGGAGTGCATGACTGAAACCCTAGGCGCTGGAGGTTGAAGAAGGGTGGAGGGCCGTACGATGGAGGTTGGACTTTTGACCTGGGGGGAGTATCCAACGGCTGTGATTAACGCTTCAATCTGGTGGGAAAATTTGAAATCCCAAACGCACCGTTTCACTAATTGGGGGGATTGGGCTCAGAGAGCTATTCGCACCCCCCATTCTGATAAGCCCAATGCGCTGAACGTGTTTTTCATACTATTCTCACCCCCTCCCTCTATTTCTTTATATTTTCTTTTATTTTCTTTATATTTTTCATGCATCTTATAAAATTCATAGTAAATAGCAAAATCATCATTTTTAATTCATTCTTTTTGCATATTTTTCTTTAGGATGTCTAGAAAATTATAGAAAATAAAAATTGCATTTTATTTTTTATTTGATATTTTTCCCATATTTTCTAAATAAATAACATTTTACATAATTCCATTTCATACATGGTTTTGATATTTTTGTTCTATTAATTGCTTTCATATTTTTCATCCATTCTTTTTAGGTTGTTTAGATTAGACATCAAACTTGTAGATTCAATTTAGTACCCATTTTTAGAAATTAAATTTAGGTGCTTAGTGTAGGCTTGAACAACATGAATAAAAAACTAGGGTTTTAGGTGATGACTCAGGAGATTTGATTCTCTTCCCTTAGGACTTAGGGCTTGATTAGTTTAGTTATGGGACTATAGGGGCTATGGGTAGTTATTAGATCCCCTAGAAAAAGTCAGGACTCCCCTACTGCTATTAATATGCTGTATATTTGATTGACTGGTGTGGTGTGCCCTCTGGGGATTATTGCTTGCTTGTGTGGGTATTGGGATTGTCTGGGGATTGGGAGAGCTGAAGACTTGAGGAGATGAAAGCCATTGAAGATCCAGAAATTGAAGATCAACTTCCAGAGTTGAAGAAGAGATTCTTGCTAGCAGATGCTGAGGAGATTAGGGTTTAGGAGCTAGGCAGAGCTCTAGATTAGAAAGCTTGTTTCTCAAACATGGATTGCCTTGTCTGCATCCATTCTTCTCTGTGATTCAGAGTCTCTCTAAGACACTCACCCCCTTCCTTTGGAAGGCTTGGTGATAGTGTCTAAGAGATAGAACTCTTGAGAGAAAATGTCTTTTGTGTTAGAAGCAGTCTGTTCACCACCTTTGGTAGTCAACTGATTGCTTAACACCCATTCACTCTTGTGACTAATCCCTCATCCTGGAGGTTTGAGCTTGAAGAGAAGCCATTGCAGATAGAAGACTGATGATCAAAGCCCTTATCTGAAGGCCATGAAGATGGAGATTGATGCTTGTTGAAGCCTGTAACTGATTGGAGCTTACTTGGATCCAGATGTTGATCCAGAGCTGCTGATGCTGTTTTTTTGCTGTATTTCATTTCTAATGTATTGATCGGTTTTCTGGACTGTATTGTTTGTTGTTTACCCTGCTGGGTTGAAAGTGAAGTCTGTTCACTTTTGCCTATTGTTTTCCAGGTTCGAGGTTGAGTGAGACTCCCTTGCCTCGCTTGTACTGTTGCATCCATGCATTTTACTGTTTTACTATATATATCTGATGTTGTTTCTGTTTCTGCCTATCCCGTAGGATCTCTGTTTCTCTCTGTGCAAGAGAGGAGCATGATAGACACTAGGTCTTAACCCATGCATGATAACATTAGGTTAGTTTGATTCCCTTCGCAACCATAGGTTAGAGTTCTGTCTCTTTCTTTCTCAAAACAAACAGAAAAACACATAAAGATTTCAAACACAATAAAAGACACTTCTTCCGTAAAAGAATGTGAACTCACCAAAATGTCATTTTTGTCCGCCGGGACTGCTAATCAGAAAAACCTTTTTCAGAAGGAATAAAATCAACCAAGACAAGCTTGTGTCGTACGTAGCCCGAACTACGTTTGCTCTGATCTTTCATGCTGTGTGAAAGTACGTAGGCATAGGATGCGATATCCTAGCGAGCAACCTTCCCCTCCTTTCCCGTAGGTAGGCGAACTACGTTGACTCTGATTTCTCGTTCCAGGCGGGAATACGTAGGCATAAAGTGCGATACTTTGCCGAGTCATTTTTATTTTTATTTTATTTTCTTTTTAACCCTTGACCTATAGTTTAGATAGAATAACAATCCATACCCGAAAACAAGCGTGGATCCCGTCGAGTACGACGGACGTGAGGGGTGCTAATACCTTCCCCTTGTGTAACCGACTCCCGAATCCAGGTTTTGGTTGCGACGACCATACCTTTCCCGTGTTGTGCGAGGTTTACTCTAAGCGTTTCCTTTCCCTCCCATGGGATAAATAACGCACGGTGGCGACTCTTCTGTTCAGCCGGCGCCGATTTTCGCAGTAGCGACAGGCCTCCATATAAACTGTCATATAACAAAGAAAATTAAGATGCCATTAAATTGAAGAACCGACCACGATTTTCACTTGGTTTAAAACTTACATCTTTTTCTTGCATATGGTCCAACGCGTTACGATATCCTTGAAGATGGAAACGAGGAGTTGCACGGTAATTCATTCCTCTTTGTGCCCATCTTGCAAAATACAAAACAAAATAATGTTAGACATATTTGAATAAGAAATATATATATTTTACGTACATAAATATGAGTATTATATTACATGAATACCTTTGTGCATATGGATACGAGGGTTCCACCGTGCTGACAAGAGCGAACAATGGGATGCGTGTGAATGCCCAAGAAGTTAGTAGGAGAGCACAACCACTCATGCTCCTAACTTCTTTTTTTGCTGCCTTGCACATTTCTCTGTACAATTTTGCAAGGCATGCAGAACCCCAACTATATTTTCCACATTCAATGAGATCCCCCACAAAAGGGACCCAAGAAGAATGCAAAAGGTTTTGTGTTTTGTCAGGAAACAAAATTGTTGCGATCACGAGTAAAATAAATAATTTGGCTTCTAATAAAACATCTTCTTGAGTCGAGTTTTCTTTGTTTTTTAAATTTTCATACTCACTTTCAAGCCAAGTTATCCTAACAAAACCTTTCATTTTATCTTCTTCTTTTGGTTCCTTCCCCAAGTAATCCATGTAAACAAAACTTGTTACCTCGGTGGGACCGTTGATAGCTTTGCCATCAACTCGTAGACCTAGTAACATACATGTATCTTCAAGGGTTATGGTGCATTCACCTGTCGGGAAATGAAATGTGTGGGCCTCGGGTTTCCATTTCTCCAATAGAGCAACAACTAGGCTTGAGTCGATTTTCAAACTGTTTATTTTTGAAATGTGTGCGAATCCTGCGATCTCAAGATAAGGCATTATTCTATCATTCACTCGAACAGGAGAATGTGAATGCACCCTAAACCTAGGGGCATTAATCTGCAACAATATTAAACAAACATTAGTTAGTCACAATTGTTACGCCGAAATAATAATTTGACAAAGAACAACATATAGAATTTGAAAAACTTACACTGTTATTGATATTTTGTTGTGTTCCACGGTGATCATTGCCCATCCATAACAATGTCATTTTAGTCGGGTAAAAATTGCAAGATAGTAGAGGAATAGAAATGAGAATTGCTAGGAAGTAGAGAGAATTAGTAAAAATGTTGTGTAAATTTTGGAGGTAAATAATTTGAATATATAGTAGTGTGTATGAAAATAAAATATTAGGGTAAAAATATTTTAAAGTCATAGTATGAAGAGACCTTTGCATGGCACCTACTCTTTTTTTGCATGCATGCAAGGCTAGCTTCATAGACAATGTCGTATGCATGTGAAACAATTTTTACAGACCCTCACAAGTTCGCCCATGGGTGGGACGAACCAAATATTCTCCTCACATGTTCGCCCAAGGGTGGGACGAACCAAATATTCTCCTCACATGTTCGCCCTTTTGGTGGACGAACCAAAGGCAACGTTCTTGGGAAGTTCGCCCTTTGAGTGGGCGAACTAGTGACACTTAAATTTTGCTACTCGTTTCCTTTGTATGTATCTTTGAATCACTACATTATAAACCTCTTTTATGCATCAATTACCACAACCAAACTCCCCAACATTCAATCATACACCTCTACAAAATTTCAACCTCCCCAACATTCAATCTTACACTACAAAAAAAATTTAAACTTCTCAAATTTCAAGCTCCAAAATGTCAGAGAGAAACATAATTACCACATGTCACTTTAACGGTGTTGTTTCGACAAACACTCCTGTTGGATTCTCGTTCAGCAATACGGATACATACGCCTTCAAAATTCATGTCAATTCAGATTTTTTTCATTTTAAGGATAGAATGGAAAAAAAATTGGCACAAGGCGTTGAGGAAATCATTTATCGCCATCCCACCCTTAATGAAGACGACTGTACGATTTTTTACATTATGACGCCAATCAAAAACGACGACGATGTCAAGGCCATGTTTCGGTGCCACATGATGTTTGGTCAGTTACCTACAATTGAGGTGTATGTCAAACTACAACATAATCCCGAAACATTGCAAACTCAGGAGACCCAGTCACACTGGTACGGGATGAGCCAAACATCCGACGACGAACCAACGCAAAACAATTTACCTTTCATACCAGATGAGGAGGTTGGAGAATCAAGTGATGATGATATTTATGAGGAGATCAGGATGCAAGATATTTTTGGTGACAGCGGTGACGAAGACAATGAAGACGAAGATATAGTTGTCCCGTCTACGCAACCGATCCGCGCACAACCCGTAAGTTTGTATAACCCGCCGATACACATGCAAAATATTGATATTGAAGATGACGACACAACCTCCGTGTTTGGAAGTGCTATTCAAAACCATATAGGTGATGAAATAGAGATCGGTATGGAGTTTGAAAACAAGGAAGCCTGCGTTCTCGCTCTGCAGCATTGGCACATAACACACTGTGTGGATTATTGGGTGTATCAGTCCGACAATGAACGATATGTCATTCAGTGTAAGAAATAAGACTGCAGGTTCAAGTGCAGAGCTTCATTTAGACGAAGGAACTTAAAATGGGTGATCGGTAAGCTGTCTGGGTCTCACACATGCACTACGACGTCGATGGCACAAGACCATAGGAAGCTCAGTTCAGAAATGGTTTGCCATAGCATCAGAGAACTTGTCAACAGCGACGCCTCACTTAAGGTAAAAGTGATCGTTGCCCATATTCTAGAAAAATACGGGTACATCATATCTTACCGGAAGGCGTGGATCGCTAAGTGCAAGGCGGTAGAGTCGCTTTATGGCAATTGGGAAACATCGTACAACGACCTACCGCAGTGGATACTGGTAATGAAAACCTTTCTTCCAGGAACCATTATAGATTTGCAAACCCTACCTGCAACATCAAGTGATGGTTCCCAAAACTCCGGAAAACGAATATTCCATCGTCTGTTTTGGGCATTTCGTCCGTGTATACGTGGTTTCGCCTACTGTAAGCCCATTGTGCAAGTAGACGGGACATGGTTGTACGGAAAGTACAAAGGAACTCTATTGACGGCGGTGACACAGGATGGCAACGCAAATATTTTCCCAGTGGCATTCGCATTGGTCGAAGGAGAAACAAAGGAAGCTTGGAGTTTTTTTCTGAGGAACCTACGATTACACGTGACACCACAACCAAATTTATGTCTAATATCTGATAGACATGAATCGATAAAAAGTGCATACAACAATCCTGAAAACGGTTGGCAACATCCCCCCTCTTCACATGTCTACTGCATAAGACACATTGCTCAGAACTTCATGCACGAGATTAAGGACAAGGTTCTACGCAAAACACTTGTTAACATGGGTAACAAAATAAATACCGCTTATCTAAAATTTTGTGGCACGTTTTTATCATTTTTTCTCACACAATTCTTGATACAGGTTACGCATTGACGGAGGCTTCATTATCGCGGAGAAATCAGAAGATCCAACACTGAGACTTTAAATTGGATAGACAATATTCCTAGGGAGAAGTGGGCTAGAGCATTTGACAGAGGGAAACGTTGGGGACATATGACATCTAACTTAGCAGAAGCAATAAACTCTGTACTAAAGGCCACGAGAAACCTTCCCATCACGGCATTGGTCCAGTCTACATATTATCGAATGGGTTCACTATTTGGTAAGCGAGGACACAAATGGACCAAGATGCTATCTTCAGGGAAAGTTTTCACAGATGGTTGTAACAAGGGAATGGCTGAGGAGGTAGCCAAGGATAACACACACACCGTCATGCAATTTGATCGAGAAAGATTCTGTTTCATGGTGCAGGAAAAGATTAATTACAATGATGGTCGTCCAACGGGTACTTTCAGCGTTGACTTGAGGAATCGTAAGTGTGACTGTGGAAAATTTCAAACGTTTCACTTGCCTTGCTCCCACGTGATAGCGGCATGTTCTAGCATACGACAAGACTATGCAATTCACATTCCAGAGGTCTTCACAGTACTTAACGTATTCAAGGTTTACAAGGAAAGCTTCCTGGGACTACCACACGAGGAGAACTGACCAAAATATGAAAGTTTCACTTTGTGCCACGACGATTCAATGAGAAGAAATAAAAAGGGGCGTCCAAGAAGTAGTAGAATTAGAACTGAGATGGATGACGCAGAAAAAGAGAAGAGACGGTGTGGGATTTGCAGAGAAATAGGTCATATGCGTAGTAAATGTCCCAATGTTGCCGGTCCGTCAAACCGACCGAATAGATAATTATATTGTACTACTTTCGTATTTGATCCATCAATAATTATTAATTCAAAAGAACTTTAAAAATACAACAAAAGCAGCGAACTACAAACATAAAGTTGATCCTTTACTCCACAAACGCAAAAATAAAACTCATGAAGCTCACATAAACTCTAACATACAACAGCGACCAACACAAGTGGATCCGTGACTCCTCTGTTGACTTCACCGCTATGTGCTGAAAACATGCAATGGACATCTTCATCGTTTTCTATACGATCTAGGTAGTACATGTACGTCCCCTCCGGGCTAGCATCAGTAAGCGTTATATATGGACAACGATACTCAATTTTTTTCACCGTCACGCGGCGACCGCCCAGCTGCCGAAACCCGGTGTTAATTGCTGCAACCACAGTTCTGAAATTCCACAGCGGATCTAGGAAAACACTTATTTTTTTCTCAGGTCCATAGAAAACATGAGCTTCCACAGACATCTTTATAATTCGGATAACTTGACACGAATGATAGTAAATCGGATAAGCTTATTTATACAAGAAATTTATGTCTGAGTTCGGTCATTCAGTGACCGAGAGTCTGTAAAAATAATTTACATATAAAATTAATTAAATAGTTTTTTTCTTAAATTAATTTAATAGTTTTTATAAAAAATTAATTAAATAATTTATATATTAAAATAATTATATTAATTGAATATAGTTTATATTAAATTAATTAAATAATTTTAATATAGAATTAATTTACTTTTTTTATTAAATAGTTTATTTATTACTTTAATTACATAGATTAAATATATTTTGTAGACAATATATTTTAAATAAATACTTTTAATATGGAATAATTTTTTATGTTTTATATTAAATATATTTTTAATTATTTTAAATAAAAATATTAAATATATTTTTTATTACTTAAATTAAAAAGATTAAATATATTTATTTGAAAATCTGAAAAAATTAAAAAAAAAAAAAAAAAAAAAAACCTTCACACGTTCGCCCTTTCAATGGGCGAACTCACTCAGACTGGAATTTTCTACAAGTTCGCCACTTCATTGGACGAACTCACTCACGCTTTTCCCTAGTTCGTCCTTCTGTTGGACGAACTCTTACTCTTCCAAAAGTAGGGCATGCACGTAAATATATTTTAAACTGGGGTATTTTGGTATTTAGGGTTTCAAACTAGGGTATATAGGTCAAAAAAACTTGCTTTGCATGGTGGCTGGTTGCAATATGAGGCATCATGTGGCTCGCTTGGATAACGTATTTGGCTTGATGGCTTGAAGGATTGAAGTCAGATAGTGTAGTAGCTGATATATATGGCTATGTATTGTTTGGAATTTTTCAGCTTGCAGCTTGGAAATTGAAGTGGGCCATGGTAGCTTTTGGGCAATTGTTTGGATGGATTGGCTTGGAAAAGCTTGCTCTTCATGTGCGTGTGTATTTCAACTTGTGTGGAATGGCTAGGTGGCTCGTGATTTTTTGATGAGCAGCAGCTGAAATTTGTTGACTATAACTTGTGTATATTTTACCTTGCAATATAGTGGGCTCGTGTGTATGTATCATGGCCTGTTCTTCTTATTAATTTTTGTTGCAAATTGTAATTGTAAGATGGACTTGGGCCTTACATTTTTGTGTGTAGAACTTTATGAACTTTTATTTGGTAGAATTTTGGTGGTAAACTTAAAACGGGCTTGCAATTTTGATTTTTCTTGAATCCTTATTTACTTTGCACCCTCCATATTCATGTGAACCATTAAGGTGACATATATATATATATATATATATATATATATATATATATATATATATATATATATATATATATATATATATATATATATATATATATATATATATATATATATATATATATATATATATATATATATATATATATATATATATATATATATATATATATATATATATATATATATATATATATATATATATATATATATATATATATATATATATATATATATATATATATATATATATATATATATATATATATATATATATATATATATATATATATATATATATATATATATATATATATATATATATATATATATATAGTTTAGAAGCTACGTAAAAACTGTATGGTAAATTAATATCATAAAATTTTCATCCTTGTCCTTTTTGCTGTAGTTAGTTTTTGATTCTGTGTTTGTTAGATGTTTGTTTGATATTCTTATTTTCATGTTGAAATTTGTCCTATAATGGCCAATTTAACATTTATACAAGTTAACCAAGTTACCAAAGATACGTTTATTAGGGGATGTTACTTTTTCAAATCGTCAAACCAATTGTGACATTTATATGTCAGTTGCCAAGAAACATGCTTTTTCCAAGTTAATTGAGTTACCAAAGATATGTTTATTAGGAGAGGGGATGTTTCTTATTCAAATCATCAAACTACTTGTAACATTTATTTGCCAGGTATAACATACATTGTTAGAGGAGACTTTATCAAATCCACTTGTACATAAAGATGAGCATATAAGGCCACTCCAATACGCAAACAGATCCCTGCAGTCAGTGAGCCCCAATGCACATTGAGGTCTAAAATAATTTTAAAAAATATTTTAAATAAGTAAATCGTAATATTTTAGTAAAATTGTTATATTTTTATTTAAAATTTACTTTTCTGATTTCTAGAATTGAAATTTATCGATTAGTGTATTGCAGTTGATTTTGTTTAGAATTTCTTTTTAAAATGAATACTAAAGCTAGTCTATTTAGTTTGTTACTGATTTTAAACAAAATTTTAATAAAATTCTCTTAGCAGAAGCAATTAATCAAAATTGGATATCATTAAACTTATACTTTAGAGTAGAAGCGTGTGTATCTTTTTACTAATTTATAATATAATAGTATTTTTCTTTTTGATTTTGTTTAATTAATCGACTCTACATAAAATTATATATATATAAAAAAGGTCATATCAAGTGAGAGGAGTAGTTAATATGAGAGATGAGAGAAATTAATTTAAACTATTGGATCCAAATCAATGATTCAGATTTAATTAAATGATAGTGATTAATTTTCAGTTTTAGTAATTCACGTGAGATGATTTTTATTAATTAGGAAAACACAATTGATATTAATTCTCGCACTTCCCTACCTGACTTTTGTTTCTTTCCTTGAACACGTGTATGTTTTATTACATGTTCTCCCACACAATCATAATTGATACAAATTATATTAAATTTCTACCAACATATATTAGATAAAAAATAAACAGCTATTAATCTTAAATTATGT